CTCGTTTAATTACGTAGAAGCTGCTATAAAAAAAGAAAACATAGTATCTGCGAACGTTATGACGTTTCAGATACTGACGATAATAAAACTAGATATAATTTCGCTCCAGTATTTCGCTGATAACAATAAACGTAATGTATGTGTATGATGCAAAAGAACGTGACGTTTTTAATGCATGTCAATTAATGACATAATATGTCTATACAATTTTGTAATTATTTACACGATTTATTCTTTCTTACGTGTAAATAATTACAAAATTTATTCTTTCAATCAGAAATTAGACAAAATATTCTGTTCATACATGAATGGAATATAATAAAATTTAAATTAAAGACATCTAATACGACGCATTACTTTCTAACATTATCTACGACAATATTATTTTTGATAATCTAATGTGCAATGATGAAGATTTACTTCAATTTTTTGAAGATTTATTTTTGTCGTACAAAAGTCGTTTTTCCATATAAATAGCATGTATAAAATTTTGTATTATTTAAGAATTGTATTATTTGTGAATCTTTACCTTTTTACGCGAGTACATGATTAATTTCCATTGAATATAATTTCTCTTTTATGACACTTCAAGCTTGTAACTCTGCGATGTACAGTATCATTAGGTATATCACAGGTCACTTAATAGTTCAAATATTATTAGATAAATAGAAATTTACATTCGACATATATAATTGAAAATGCAAAATCAAACTGAACAACTTGTTCTACATTTATATTTGCATAAATTTTTGTGTTTGTACTGACTTAAAATAAATGGAATTTTTTCATAGTTGCTAATTATTTTATCAAAATAATTATGCTGTGTCAATATTTTTCTACGATATTAGGCTTCTTAAATTATCATTGATATCATAGAAATCAATACGAAATATCCGTTCCACTTTTTTTCTGTTATTTTACGTTTATCAAAATTGGATAAATACTTTTCTCTTTTTTATTTGATTAAGAATGACGTTCTCATTATTTTATCTTATCCTCGATATGATTTATATTTTAACTTTAAAAATGACCACATTCTCATGTATTTCTATGTGTTTTTGGTATATTATATTTTGATATAAATCAATTAATAACATAAAAATATATTTTTATTTTTAAGAATGTAATAAAGTTTTAGAGAAAGAATAGCCAGTATAAACTTTTGCAACATATATATGTTCAACATAAACAATAACACATCGCAATATTGCGTAATGTTATCGCATGAACGCACGTCGTAACGATATCAATGCGATATAGACAATGCGAGATATACATAATATTCGAGTGCCAAGAGTTAAGTTTTAAAAATGGATGAGATTAAATATGATTTCATAGTATTAACAATCTTTATTACCATAATTTCTGGGCATATTTATTTAATCGACGCGTGCGATAAAAAAGACTATTCTCTACGACATACGTTTTCAATATTTTGCTCAACAAGAACGAATTTGTAACACAAAAATATATTTGTCAAAATGTTGTGGCCAAGTTATATAAACAGGTATATACCACTTTAAAAATCTGAGCAAACAGGATGCGAACAATCCGAGCTTATACTTATACTTATTTACATTAATTTTAGGAAAAAATAATAATCAACTTAAGAGAAGAGTTTCCTGTTTCGCAATTTTATTTGCTCGCACGCGAATTTTTACGAAGTTTATTCGTTAAAGTGCATTCGTGACTCTCGTTATCTTGCACTTGTCTTACTAAACGCTAAATATGCTAATCACGTACAATACTACAGTAGGTATGTTAAAAATTGTTTGCGATATATTAGATATTACTTTCAATTTGTACAGAAAAATACTTAAAAGCGTTTAAAGTATTACAAAAAATTGTTAAATTTAAGTTGTGATATTAATGTATCTTAACTATAATACAAAAATAATACAATTATATTGAAATGAAATATTGCTTAAATAATAATTACATTTATAAATAATTTAATAAATTTAAAGACAAAAAGGAGAAAAATTAATTAATATTGATTGCATAATTGTGGTACAATAATGGATAAATGAAAATACTAAAATTAGTAAGAATAATATTTAAAAGAATTAAATTTCTACACAACATATATACGAAATGTGAATAATTTATATTTTTTTATCGTTCAAAATATTTAACATTCTGTTCACATTATAGCATATATATATGTATATATATATGTTCGCAAATATTAGTATCTAGCAAATATTGAATCAAAACGAAAGTTTATAACGCTTTTTCATTTGTATCATATCTACATCTTTCTTAAAAAAAAATTTGGCAATTGCATTCGATAGAACAAAATTTTAGCTTTAATGAATCTGTTTTTAAATTGCAGTAAAATGATTTTTAACAGAGTTGGGCAATTAAAGTTAAAATGCTCTTTTTATTTAATCCGTAATATCCCAATAACAAAAAATCTTAGGAAAATTTTCAAAAAACAATTACGTAAGAAGAACTTTAAGCTTTCATATTAGAAAATTGAAAATTTTTCCAATTTTTTTTAGCACGTGACAAGCTTACAAAGTATAAAGTATAAAGAAAAGTACAAAGTACAAAGTATAAAGAAAATTTTCTGTTTTGTCCATTTCATAGTTTTGTAGATGTAAAAATTACCAAACTCACAAAAACTCAAAATTCATAGTAATGTTTTTTTGAAAATAGAAATTTTATTTTTAAAATCCTTTTTTTATTTTAAATTTCATTTATTTTTAACAAAGTTATATCTGCTTGAATTTTGAAGTTCGTAGCAAATTTAACTTTTATTTCAATATAATATATACGTATTTAATTAACAAATATATTAATTTAATGTAGCGATTATACTGAAATCTTATATATAAAAGACAATTAAAATCGACATTTCACTTTCATGCTTACTTAAACAACATATTTCAACGTTGATACCCGTCGACCGTGTGAAAATGATTTATGTAACAATCCGTGTAGTTTCTTATGTAAGTATAACACAATATGTGTAATTCATAATTTTCGTTTCGTCGGGTTTTTCCGTTTACCACGTCGTGCTGCCCGATTCACATCATGCGGAAAATGCGAACTCGCGTTAATGTCGTAATAATGCCTGGCGAAATCACAAATTATTAACCATACATAGCAACTAAACCGCTGGTTTGCGGATATTCTCCTTATCTTGCGTATTTCATGATTGCGATAAACGTACAAAATGAAAACATGTGGATGCGAATTGCGGAGCCGGCGTGCAACGTGAATATTAATCGAGCATACAAAATGTTGAAATCCTGATGTATTATAATTATAGATTCATATACTTTCACATGTATTCCCCACACATATATATATATATATATTTTTTTTTTATCCTATGAGAAAATAATTGACTGCACACGTTATAATTCAATTAAGTATGAAGTCGATAATTTTTTCATGAGGCAAAAAGTTAGTTCAACGACTCTGATTCATCTTGTATGGATATATATATATATATATATCCTCACACTATATTCTCATTTATTTAAGAATTCTAATAATGGCTTCATTAATATAATTGCAACATTTGCTCAATATATTCTCAAGAACACATAAAAAGCAGTATACAAAATCAAATAACTTTATTTTAATTCTTAACGTCAATAAACAGTCAAATTTTGTAACCAATAATCATTTTGACTTTCATGATATTAGAATAAAGAATAATTTTGACTTTCAATTCTCTTGTGTTCCTTGGGCAATGCATGCTAATATTTAATCAATGCATCGCTGTATAAATTGTCCTACTAGAGAAACATTAATCATCGTTGTTTCCGTTTCACTTCTTAATATCTTTCATTTCTTTATAAAGAGTCCTTCCATATTAAATCAAAAGTGTCAGAAAATAGCACAAAATAAAAATAAGCAAATTAATCTTAATAATAAGTGTGTCAAGTTGCGTCAGTTTTTAATAATAAGGCTCACCGCCTTAGACGAGCTGTAATTCACGTTTCAGATTTTAAAATACAATTCTACATTTTGTAATTTTATACGTCATGTATTTCGGTCTGTGTATTTTAGCATATATTTTACATACGCATGTATTCTAACTATTCACATGTCATTCGTATCACATAAAATTACAAATAGAATTCTAATTTAAATGGTGACATGAATTATAGATAATCTAAAATTAAAAATGACGTCGACGTGAGGATTTATACGTAAAATCGATTAAAAGAATACGCAAAACAGGAAGAGCATATACAATGGTTGCGTTCCACAGAAAAATCAGCTTTGTATACATATAATAATTGCACGATTTTTTAATATGATTGATTTGTACATTTAGAATGTATAAGTGAGGAACTAAAGGCAAAATCAATTACATCAAAGAATTTTACAATTGCAAAGTTGCTTTTTCTGCTGAACGCAATCAATATGAAGAATTCATAAGCATACACAGTGATAACGTAGTAATACCACGTTTTAAATGTTACTTTGAAGTTAAAGTTTAATGCGATATTATATTATGGAAATAAATCGAGTGTGTCGAAATTTCTCAAATATGCGTTTTTTTTATAAAAATATGTAAAAATTTATTATACTTAATTCAATGTTATCAATTATCTCTTTATCAACATATTATTTATATTCGCGATGCTTTTTTCACATATGTGCTTTTTTTTAAATCAACATGTACTCGACGTAGCCTTATTATTTAAAAAAATATGTAATAGAAGTGTAATGTCGATTACATATTACAAATTGCAGTAATACTGGTAGCTCAAAAGATTTAATCTTTAATCGAGATCTCGCGAGAATGTCCAGCTCGTCTGATAATACGGAAGAACGATAAAACACGAAATTTGGTCTCTCTAAATTATACTGTATTACACTTTCCGTAACAAGACAATTTATACATTGAAAAGAAAAAGAGAAAAAAAATAAAAGAAGAATAAAGGAAAAAAAAATCGATAAAGGAATTTTATCGTTATCGCGCTTGTACAAGAAATTAATTTTAGCAAATTAATTTTAGAATTTTGATTACACACCGTGACTTTCCTCTAGTTTGACGTCTCTTCGATAGTCAATAGTCCCTCGTTGGGGCAATCGTGGGTCTACTAGAGGGAACGGTTGGCTATACAAAACCGTGCTGACCAGCGCGTATCGTGGCGTACAACAGAGTATGTGACGGAGACCCGCGACGCTAACATCGGCCCGAGAATTCAATTCTTATCAGTCGTATACAGTATTGAACGCGAAGATATACGTATATCTTGAGTTAATCAACTGCGCGAACACCGCAGTTGTAAATAGATCTTTCACAAATGAGGAATGCATCTTCTTCAGCAACGTGGCACTCACTGTAGTATTTCCTCGTTTGCGTCATCCCTCTTTGGTTCCGTTTGGGACAATTAGTTCGATGCAATATTCTCGCAATCAACAAATCTCCCACTTAGTTCTGCGCGCGATAATTGTGCATAAATGGCGATGTGCGAACGCTTTGGCGATATGCGACAAAACAAGTCAGCGCCAAACATTAAGAGGATACTCAATCATACTTTCTGTATGTGTCTGGACTGCATATTTTGTGAGTTTTTTTCATCAGGATAATAATAAACGCAAAGTATCTCCGTTTTTCTACCAGAAGAAATACATCGCATTTTTAAAATCACGTTTAGAGAATTTAATCCTAAAGCATAAATAATGTTTCCATTTTTACCTCGTTTTACAATGATAATAGATACTTATCCGCAAGAAATAGATTAGTTTACTGATCCGTTTTTTTGCGGGGAAAAAATATAATATTAATAATTAAGTTGTCAAAATTAAATGGTTGATTACGTTTCTCTTCTCTCTAAAACTTTTACAGTACTGTCACTATAAAGAGCGAATCTTATTTTTAAAGATTAAAAATTGAACCTCTCTTTTTCAAGACTGGTCTAACTTTCAATCTTTAGAATAAAATTTCATTCTAATAAATTTAGAAAGTTCTATTAATTCCAATCTTATTATTCTATTAATTTTTTTGTCCTACAGTAAAACTACTTGTAGAAAAGGAATAATATCAGAAATGGAAGTCTCCTGAAGTCGATCATACGCTTCATAATAATTTCACTGGATATTCAAAGATTTATAGATATTTTACATGGTATAAATTCTCATGAAAGAAAGTACAAGATATGCGTATATTTTTTACATTTAAGTGTTTTTCAATCTTTTTTCAATTCATGACATATTAAAAGCTAATTAAGAGCCTAATTTCTCGAAATAAATCATTAGGAGTACAGCACAGTTCTTTTACTAAAAATTCAGAATTATAATATATGAAAAATTCAGAAATAAAAAGTAAAGTAAAATTTTTATTTTTTGTTATCGTTTTAAAAGTGATTGTAAACATTTTTTTTCTTTACACTTTACTCGCTTTTTTATTTATTTTTAAAATCTCTTGCAGAGATGCATACAATAGTTTTTACTTTATAAATAAATACGAATAAATACGAGCGTAATACAACAGACAGCGCACTGGATGGCCAGACAGGTTCCTATTCTCGAAAAGTATCGCATACGAAAAACTAAGGAATTACTATAGTATTCATTACATATACTATAGCATTTCTCTAGTTTTTCGTATGTGATACGTTTGAAGAATCGGGGCCCTGAGATCCCGGTAGGACCTAAAATATTTACCCGGTAGGACCTAAAACCTTTTCCGAAAGGAGACACGTTCATGTCTCCTCTCGAAAAAGGTTGGCAACCTCTCGAAAGTATCCTTGCCCACAGAAACACCTCTCGAAAAATCCGCCGTTTAGAACCGGCATTAAAATTGTATGTCTCATATATATGCTCGTGGCAATTTGAATAATCAGCGTGCGCATCACAAACATATGAGAGAGATGTAACACAGGCCTGAAGTCTAACGTAAGAAGAAAAAAAGAAGAACAAATAAACAAATTGGATTGAATGAATTCAGATTTTCAGAAATATTGATTCACGAATGTTAAAATGAATGCTTTTCAATCCTGAATACATTTTTATTTATTTATAGAAATTGCATGCAGCATATCTTTATGCTTTTCAATCTAAAAATAATATTAGTCTTTTCTGTACATTGTGAATACTGTTCAATTCAAAATTTTAAATAGAAAATGCAGTGTTTTAATCCAATTGCATCCAATTGAATCTAATTGAATCTAAAAAAAAGTATTTGCTATTTAAAATACGTATTCGGATAGAAAAAAATTTCAATCCATTTTAATTCATTCTCGTTTACTAGGTACGTATTGAAGGTTTTATCAATGTCACTTTATATTTTGAAAGTTGCCCCGTTCTATGATATGTATATATGTTAATTATGATATGTATATATGTTAATTGTAGTTCAAAGCCAGTCTTTGTATAAAGGCTTTTGTAATTGCTAAACAAATCTGTTTTGTTTAACTTTTCCCTTAGATATTTGCAATTCCCTCATTCTCCTTTACATTAAAATCATCAAAAATATATAATAACTTTAAATGACATGCATATGTTCATACAGACATTTATAGCAGCACTAAGTACCTATTATATAAATATCTGAATTGTCATTGAATACACCGAGAAATGAAATATTATCATTACTTAAATATATTGAAATAGTATCGTTCGCAATTTTCCTATATATAATTTTTATTTATTTAGATATCATTTTTAGATAATAAGTAATGCAAACATGTTTAATTCTAAAATTCTTTTCTCTTTATAGTGATTGATATTTTTTCATTTACTTATAGCATGATTCATAAATCACATATATCATTCCCGACAAATTTACACAGAAATGCGATACGTACAGCTGATAAATAACTGATAGATTTCACTATCCGCGTTTTATTTTTTATTGAGGAATCTCGATAAAGTCAATAACAATCGTTAAGAATATGAGTAAAACGTGCAAAATATTTAAAATAAGCAAACACATTTGTGATTTTATTCAAGTGATGTATAAATCAATATTTAATGAATTTAATGCTGACGTGTCCTTGATTTTTAATTTAATCGTGATAAATATTTTCAGTTTTTTTTCTGTAATCATTAAGCAGCAATTTGACAACTGCAACGTCACATTTTATGTAATACAAATTTATATTATCGATATTAACGATATTTACCATAAATTATTATTGATTTTTTCCTTACTATAAACTGTTATTCTGGAGGAGAAGTTATTTCTCTATTAAAATCACATAAATTTTAATATATCAATTAAACACGGGATAGTGATGTATCGATCTATAAAAACAAGAAATAACTAGATTGTAAAAGCAAATAATTCTTAAAGTATAATCTACATACATGATGTCTTTAATAATTAGTGTATGCATTCAACGTCAAGAATGTTTCCTGTTATCAGATTTAATATTTTTGAATTTCTACAATATAAATATTTATCTTTTAAGAAAGAAAAAAAATGTAAATTATATAAAATATTTGAAGGCCTGTCGATTCGTATTTATTTCAACATTCTTTAATTCAGTCAAGACAGAAAAAAAGAAGTATTTTTTTCTAATTTTATACATATGTATATACAGAGTATCCCAAAATTCACGAACGTCCTTTTAAGAACGAATTCTTTAGAATTTAGAACATTCTAAGACAAAAATATCGAGATTATAACAGTTTTTAAATTAGTGGTTAAAGTTTACTTATCATGGAGCTGATACTACGCGCTCAGGCATGACGATATGACAAGTGGTGCTTCAGGGCCCTCTCAGCAACTTCAAGATTATCATACAAATATGCAATGTCATTTTTATTAAGAAATTATTGTTGCTTTTATACGGAATCTATTTGTAGATTGCCGTACTTCTTTTGTATTACATTTTTTCCATTTGACACTGTTTTGTATACAAATAAACATTAAAAATTTAAGGATTTCGGACGCTTATTATTACATGTTTAACTTTTCGTCAATAATAAATTAATTTGATAACTCTTTTTTGTAATATGCTGCAAAAAATACAATTTAAGCAATCGATCTTAAATTGTAGATTTTTTTTAGTCATATTTCCTTTGAAAGTATTAAATTTATGAATGAAATTAATTAAAAGCATAAGATTAACAAAAGAAATCATTGATTAATACCTAATTAATTAATATCTAATTTTAATAATTTATTGAAGAAAAGTTAAGTATCTTATAATTATTAAATAACAATAATGAAAAGACAAATTAAAATAAAATTAATTCAAATATAGTTTGGCATTTGATATTTGTATTGATACCAATTATCAGTTTTATTATTGTCAATTATTATCTTGACGGTACGATTTAGAAAACTCGATTTGGTAAAAATATCGATTTAATCTTTATAATGGTTGCAAATATATATATATGTATATAATGAATATAAAATATTCTATAAATGAATATAAAATATTCTAATAAATCTTCTTTTATAAAATATAAAATATTTAATAATATTAAATTTGGTTGATTGCGTTATTATCAGCTACGTAAGAATTAAAAATTATTATCAGATGTATCTGATTTTTTAAAACTCTGCTAACGTCCATAAAACAAAATGTAAGCTATTATATTTTTGTTTGTATTACTCATTTCTCATTTATTTCACATTATACTAAATATTACCTGTATTAAGCAATAATATAAAACATTGAGAGAGAGAGAGAGAGAGAGAGAGAGAGAGAGAGAGAGAGAGAGAGAAAATATGATTTAAGCGACCAGTATGCGTTCGGCAACTCTCCCCTATATATATATATAATAAAGATTAATCTGATTAACTTCTCAAGACATAGCCACAGTATTTTATTACTAAGATTATTAATATTCTGTTATTTGATGTATGAAAAGATAGATTACGGATTATTACGGATTATACAATTAGAAATTTTATAATTTTGTTAAATTAATCACCAGTTAAATTAATCCAAATTTTTTATAAATAAGGATTCTTTTAATATTCAACGATACTTTTATTTAAAAATTTCTGCTTCTATATGGTAATTATATTATAATTAATATCAAAATATATCATAAAATATCAATAACAAGACATTTACAATGATTATAAATCAGTTGTCAAAATAAATTCATAATCATGTATTTTTACCTCGTATGTTAAACATTTTTGTGCTAATATTGATACATAAATTATTTGATATAAAAAGATTTATGTATTGTTATTAAATTAATTATTAATTTAATTTGTAATATTATTATTCCAACTTTAGCTTAAAAAGTTGCATTTCAAGTTTAACAATAATTTGGCGTAATTTGTAGAAAAAGAAAATATATTTAAAAATTCACATAGAAATATTATTAGACACCAAGATGTATTTTGATGCAATTTATAATTTATAATTCTAATTTTTTTCTAATTTTATTAAACGTTTACTAAAATAATTATTTTAAAAATGCGCATATCGTAATTTATATGAAAATTAAATGCATTAGAATTAAATAATTAATAATACTACTTAATTACTTTAAAATAATATTCATATTTAGAAAAATGATATTATTTACAATGTATAGGTATAAGATAAGAGTGACACAAATGTTCAAATTATG